TTTCTGTCATGAACTCATTTCTCCACCAGGGGCTCCTCTTGAAGCTGGCCAATCAGAGACCATATGCAAATAGCACCGCTGCCCAGCCAATCGGAATCTTTGAACTTTCAGGCTGGCCAATCAGAGACCACAGTGGCAGCCAATCAGAAAGCGAGCACATACACCGCCACACTTTTGTCCTCCGCATACAAGTTTTGACTTTTATTATATATATAGATACAGATTTATTATTATTATTATTATTATTATTATTATTATTATTATTATTTCTCATTTGCTGTGACATACTGTGCTTTTGTGTCAGCAAAATAACAATAATAATTAAAGATCAAATTGTAAAGATTCTGGCACAAACCAGTCAAGGTGGTCCCAGTGGTGATCGGCACACTGGGTGCAGTGCCTAAAGACCTTGGCCTGCACTTAAAAACAATTGGTGCTGACAAAATTACCATCTGTCAGCTGCAAAAGGCCACCCTACTTGGATCTGCACGCATTATTCGCTGATACATTATACAATCCTAGACACTTGGGAAGTGTCCGACGTGTGATCGAATACAAAAGCCAGCATAGTGATCTTGTTTACTGTGTACTAATCTTGTTATGTGTCAAATAATAATAGCAACAACAAGAACAATTTATGTGTCAGGAGTGACTTTAGAAACTGCAAGTCGCTTCTGGTGCGAGAGAATTGGCCGTCTGCAAGGACGTTGCCCAGGGGACGCCCAGATGTTTTTTGATGTTTTACCATCCTTGTGGGAGGCTTCTCTCATGTCCAATAATAATAATAATAATAATAATAATAATAATAATAATAATAATAATAATAATAATGCTGCAAAGACTCTGGCACAAACCAGTAAAGGGTGCAGTGCCTAAAGACCTTGGCCTACACTTAAACACAATCAGCGCTGACAAAATTACCATCTGCCAGCTGCAAAAGGCCACCTTACTTGGCTCTGCCTGCATTATTCGCCGATACATCACACAGTCCTAGACACTTGGGAAGTGTCCAACATGTGATCCGATACAACAGCCAGCTGAGTGTCTGCTGTGGACTCATCTTGTTGTGTTTCAAATAATAATAATAATAATAATAATAATAATAATAATAATAATAGTAATAATATTCTTTATTTATACCCCGCCCCATCTCCCAAAAAGGGACCCAGAGCGGCTTACAATCATAAAATAAAACATAGTTGCTAATACAAACAAGGTAAATAGCATTTCAAATTAAAACAACACAAAAAATAACACAACACAGCTGAAACATCAGTAATCAATTACGGGTCTATATAAAAAAATATATAGTACAGATTTCAGAGATTAGAAGAAAAGATATTTCCAGGAGCAGCTACCTAGGAGCATCCACTTATCTATGCAATATGAAAGCTTTTATGTCTATAGGGACAAACAATGCAGCACCAGTAGAGAGTGAAATGAAGCCACTGTGCTATTTCAAATATAGTAGTCTCCATTTGCTACAATATTTTAAGTTTACTTACATATCTTACTCTTTGGTCCCCTCTGACGTTAATAGCCATTTTAATCCTTTCCTCATCCACCCATTTCGAAAGTTTCTGCAACTGAATTCCTTGAACATTTTTCTGCAAGAAGATTTCCTTTCAGCTGCTCCCCTGCACTTCTTTACTGTACTTTCATTGCTCATCTTAGACATATTTGGGGTGGATTTGGTATGATGCTACTCAGAAGGTGTTAGTGATAGTGATAGCTTTTTTTGTATAAGCTAGTAGTCTTCATTAACCTTCTCACCAAGTATCTGCACCTCAGTGTTTATCAATGTAACAATACTCCTTTTGGGTTTTTTCTTTCTCTTTCCACTTTCTTCTGTATACTTTTGCATTTCTCTGTTCTCGATTTTCCTTCTTTTGCATTCCCTTCAATTGTCAAATACCATTTGGGTTCTCCTTCCTTAGACAGATCTTATCTGATATAGGATACTATATAAAAATGGCATCCCCATTGGCACAGTGGGTTAAACCCTTGGACCGGCAGGACTGAAGACCAACAGGTCACAGGTTTGAATCCAGGGAGAGCACGGATGAGCTCCCTGTGTCAGCTCCGGCTCCTCATGCAGGGACATGAGAGAAGCCTCCCACAAAGGATCGTAAAACATCAAAACATCCTGGCGTCCCCTGGGCAACATCCTTGCAGACGGCCAATTCTCTCACACCAGAAGCAACTTTCAGTTTCTCAAGTCGCTCCTGACACACACACACACACACACATGGAAACTAAGTGGGGTCAGCCTTGGTTAGTACTTGGGTGGAGCACTCCTGATGAATACTGAGTTCTTGTAGAGGCTGTATTTCAGAGGAAGGAACTTGCAAAACGTTTTCTGAGGAATCTTTGGCCAGCAAAACCCTGTGACATTAATGGGAGTCACCATAAGTTGACAAGTAATTTGAAGGCACATATACATGCCCATACCCCAAGAACTGGGTTTGGCAATGGCCTTGTGCATGCATTGTCATTCTACAACTATGACATAAAAGTTCATTTCTGAATGTATTTTTCTTTTTTCACGACTTTTTTGTTTATTTTTAAAATCATGTTTTTTAAACAGGAGTGGGTAGACTTCAAGCCTATAGTGATACTTTTCTTCATCTACGCTTTTCATTTTTGAGAGCCCAGATGGGGTAGTGGTTTGAATGTTGGATTGGGACTCTGGAAGATCAGCATTCAAATCCCCAGCCTCAGAAGAAGGCAAAACTTCTCTGAACAAATATTGTCAAGTAAACTCCGTGATAGGCTTAGTTTAGTTGGAAATGACTTGGTAGGCACACAATAATGTATTTAGTAAGGAGAGTAATTTTGTTGTTTCACCTTGAAAAAATCCTTGCTCATCTTCCACAAATTATCCTGAGATAGAATAGCAAATATACTTTTTACTCACCTTTATATAAACCTAGTCACCTAGGTCTTGTCCTGTGAGAAAAGATTAAAATAAATGGAAAAAAATGTAAATATTCTATCCATGTACTTCTTAACTTAGTTTACGGCCTGATTGACATACAGTATATTCTGGCGTATAAGACTACTTTTAACCCAAGAAAATCTTCTCAAAAGTCAGGGGTCGTCTTATACGCGGGTGTAGTCTTATGCATGGGAGTCGTCTTAACTCTATATTTTAACTGGAAAAGATGGGGGTCGTCTTATATGCCCAGTCGTCTTATATGCCGGAATATACGGTATTAAAGGAAACAGCAAAAACACTACTTAAGTACCCATATTTCATCACATAATAGTCGCACCCCCATTTTGGGGAAGGCAAAACCAGTTTTGCTATTCCCCGCAAAATAGTCGCACTCTTAGTTCACTCACATGGGGGACTGAACTAAGCATACAACGGTTTTTTGTTGCTGTGGTGCATGTCTCGAACTGTAATAGTCGGCATTATAAGAGTCACACAACCCTTCACACCCCCAAATGGGGAGGGGTACAACTATTACATGATGAAATGTGATATCTTTCCATGCTTAAAGATAAAACGTTGGAGGAGAATGTGTTAGTTCTGCTCTTTTTCTACCCCACTGGCCTCCCTGGGTTGGAAAGATAAATGTCTGTAGCAAGCTGTCTTTCTGGGAGCCTCCAAAATGCAGAAAGCATTCCACTTCTGAGGTTCGCCCTTTCACTGGTGGAGGTCAGTGAACAAGGAAAAGATGAGGCACAGAAGGTACATTTTCTAACTACCTTTTATTAATATCAACATGGTACATTAATCTCTCTAGGCAATTAACATCTCTCTTTGCAATTTTAAAGGCAAAAGATGGAGTGTATATACAGTCTTTAAAGGTTTATCAGAAAGATGTGTATAGGCATAATACATCTACACAGCATGTATTCAGTGTTGTGACCTCTACTACTCCTTCCTACATAGCCTCTAAACTGGTTCTGAAGGTGGAACTACATTAAATAAGTTTACATAGTACTTCAAGTGTAATGAAGTCTTGAGCCATCATGACAATTGACATTAGCATATCACAGCTGATGGATTCCACTCATGAAATAGAATGAACTTGGTTAACAAAGAGGCTACAGAATTACACATTATTGCCTACACATTAATAATAATAATAATAATAATAATAATAATAATAATAATAATAATGGCACTATTATGTGCTGCTCTGTAAACCGCCCTGAGTCCCTTTTGGGAGATGGTGGCCCCAGAATTACACATTATTGCCTACACATTGTATCTGCTTAGAGCAAAACCTTTAATTGGTGTATCAACTGAACAAAATCAAACTGATGAGCTAAATATAGTAGCTTTTCAGTTTTGCCCTGCATTCCCAGGGTGTTTTGATAACTTTGGACAGCTTCATAACCAACACAATGCTCGTAAATGTGGTTTAAAGTACATTAGGACTTGCAAAGGTTTAAGTGCTACAACTTGGGAGCTCTTGATTCAGTTCTTAATTTCTCCAAGTCATTAACACTCTTCTTTTCCATGGCCTTGGTCAATGCAAGCTTCATGTGCTATTTTCTGTAAGCGGAACTGCTTTAAGGGTTAGCCAATAAATCTCTTGTGTGTTAATTACCTATCGGTAAGATGGAGGATAGTATATTTCTACATCAAAGGGACATAGCAGAAAAATTCATTAGTATGTGTATATTAGAAATTCAAACTGTAGTGATGGGAACTGAATAACAAATTCAATAGGGCTTCGCTGCAGGAAGCAAGTCATAGGGCAATTCTATATGTTCAGGTTGAATTTTCTCTTATGAACTGGACCAGCTGGATTTTGTTCCAAATTTCATCCAGTACTGTCAGTATTTTGTGATCTGACTACTTACTATAACTACAATAGGTTTGCATATAAACAATTATTTATTTTGAATGTACTATATGGTAATTTATTTCACACACACACACACATATATATCAATGCTCTTGGAATGTGAATGCTGTATTGGAATTGGACAGAAGTATCAGCTTCCAGTTTTTTGCCCAATACTAAATAAAGACACTAGAGTTATTTGGTAATAACTTCATTTATTGACTGAAACATGCAGATATTCCCCAGACATTATTATAGCCATCATCGCAGCAATAAAAATATTACCAAAAGACAAGAAATATTTCCTCTACCATTCCACAAACAACATAAATATTCAAGGCCCAGCAAAGGGAGAAAAATATAGATGGGAAAACAACTGGGTATTTATAATGGCTTGATGATTATATTAACATAGTGCCAGAAAAATCCATTTGACTAATTGATTATTATTACAACTTCTTCAAAATGTATTTCATGTACATCATCTCTACCAAGTGGAGTAACACACATTCTTGTTCAAGTTTAATTTTGATACCTCAACCACAATCTGCTAATAAAGTAGAAAAATAAATTACTGAAGAAAAAAAACCTGAAGCATGGAGGAACCATGGTTTTATAACCTTAGATCAGTAGTTCTCAACCTGTGGATCCCCAGATGTTTTGGCCTTCAACTCCCAGAAAACCCAACAGCTGGAAAACTGACTGGGATTTCTGGGAGTTGTAGGCCAAAACACCCGGGGACCCACAGGTTGAGAACCACTTCCTTAGATGTTTACACCTCCATGAAGGGGAAGGTGACTGAGGTGCAAAAGCTATCCCTCTCAATTTCCCCAAACAAGAAAAAAACTGAGTTTTCTCACTTAATTTGTGCTAGTACAGTACAAGACTAGGGCCCCTTCTACACAGCCATATAAAACCCAGATTATCTGCTTTGAGCTGGATTATATGGCAGTGTAAACTCAGACAATTTACTTCAAAGCAGATAATGTGGATTATCTGCTTTGATAATCTGGATTATATGGCATTGTAGAAGCGGCTTACCTTCAGTGTCCATTGAAGTAACATCAATTAATTGAAACAAGCCTCCTGCTGTGTATACTGTGGGTGAAGCACTGGCCTTTAAACTTTCTATACCTTCTTTCTGACTCAAAAGAAGATGGAGAACTGCCTCTCCAAGAAGCACCTAGGAATAACAATGTACTTATTTGATATGTTGCAGTTGCTTCTGCATTATTTTGCATTCAAAACTACAAGTGGAGCTCTGCTCACTTTGAATTTTTTATTTTGTTTTTGGGAAATCCATGTGGTTCCTAGGGATTCTGGGGCAGAAAACTGGCCTTCAACCTCTTGCCGTTGCCTTACCTTATTCTAGTCCTTCTGACTCAAACATAAAGCTCTGTGTGGCCCACCAAGCTATCTATAGGCTCGAAAAGCTTTCTTGTTTGGTCTCAAAAATAATGTTAAGCTGCCATGCAACACACAAGACATGGTAACAATTTCTAGTTCAATGGGCCCCAGGTTATGCAATTCTTTTAAAATACAGATGCTATAAATGTAATTATTTATTGTAGAATTGCAATTGTCACAAATGCTTCCTGGAGATAGCTAAGCAACATAGCTTTTACCCCCCAAACTACATAGGTTTAATATTTATCCACCAAGTTCTCTAGCCTTTTGTCAAGTAACTGGATTTAGGATTCCTGCTAACTTCTATAGACTTGGCCCTGATTCTGAAGTTGCTTCTAACTAAGTGTGCTTACTAACAAGAGCTAAGTATTAATAAGGCATATCTCAGATTTAGAGAAAATATTGAAAATTTGTATTTACTGTCAGAAAGTCTTTTGCAATTTCAAACAAATGAGAGGAACCCAAAATATTCAGCTGCTGGCCACATCTATACACATTTCCTTAAAATCACATAACATTTAAGTACAAAAGCATCACCAATTATTGCTCTAGAAAAGAATGCAAGAAAAATCCACATACCCACAAGGAAAAAAATGACTGTATGAATGAAATGCACATTTCCTAAAAGCAAATATATGGAATGCTTGTCCAATCTTATGAACACTTTCCCTGATGTTATGTTGATACTTGGCAATGTTTGGAGTTTCTAGGAGCATGAGTACATAAAGAACAAATGTTCATATACAGCTTGTCCTAAAAAATTAGCCTTTACAAAATACTTGATAAAAATATCCTTTAAAAGTTGTCCAGAGGTACATAAAATCATTTTCAAATGTTCATTTCAGTTTACACGCATTCGTCGTCTAACAATTCAGTTCTCTGTGCCTGTAGGAGATAATGGGGAAAAAAGTTATATCCTATGTTATTTTTCAATTTCATTTTTTTAACAGAACAGCAACATAATAATCAGTCCACAATGGATTTTTTTTTTAAAAAAATCAAAACTTAGGTATCTTTCTTTTTGCTATTTATGGCATGATTGAAATACAATGAGTATATGAGAAGACAGCTATAAATACTCTTAAATTTATTGGTTCCTGATTTGCAAAAGTCACAGAAGCCTTAACTTTGCTTCTGTGACATTACTATCTGTTTCTATTCACTGCACATTTGCAGAATGCTCTATTGAACCCTTAACTTTCACTGTTTCAATCTGCCCTTTTACTGAGAATGCACTGGGTGGGACACCTCTGGATGTTGAAACACTAACAGTTGAGCGAAAGATAGAAATCTATAATAACATCATGGAGTAATAAAAAGAAATACTATGAACATGCTTTCAGGGCCCTTCTACACAGGCCCTAAAATGCAGAAGAAACAGGGAGAAAAGAAGGGTGGCTAAACAATGTGCAGTGAAAATGCATGCTGAATCGCATTATTCCATGAAAAACACATTAAAAAGGTGCATTTTAGATCTGGATCATCTGAAAAAATGTGCATATTCACATCACTGTACATTCCTGCACTCAACTAGGAAAACTCCCTAGGAGAGGAAAAACTTCCCCATGTGAACTTTCTTGTTGTCTTTCCTTTGTTCTCATTTCCTTTGCATTGGTACAAGGAAAGGGAGTTTTGGCAGCATTATGGCACAGTCACCCCACAGTGACCTCAAAGGCAAATGGGGCTCAAGAGGGCAAAGTTGGAAACATGAGGAGACACTTGACTTATTTTCTCTTTGGGGAGGGAGACAGTGCAGGCCCAGTTAAAACTTTCACATGGAAATTACGACATTTTCCATAATCTGTCAGAGCAGATGAGGGTAAAGGTGCATGATAAAACACTGGAGGAGTGTAAAACAAAGACTAAGCTGCTGTAGAAGCAATATAGAGAGCTTTGTGACCACCATGCCTGCAGTGGCGCTGGAGTAATTAATATGCCATATTTTAATGAAGTGGATAAGGTCTTGAGGGGTGATACAACTATACATCCCAAACATGTTGCATGAAGTGCAAACATAGACAGGGTTCCTGTACCACAAGCCTCAATGAGCCAGGTTATAGCCCTCCGCAGTGCTTCCAGGATCTCTTTCAGATGTCACAAGGTAAGAGTGAAATGGCAAGGGGAAATAAGAGAAGGGATGGTGTCAGGTTAAATGGCTTGGAAGATGGTTTGAGGTGCACTGCTTAGTGCACCCCTGCCTCTCCTGAGCACATGCTACTTCTGTGTCTGATGTTTGCATTGATATTATAGAGTGCATTGAAGATTCCATGGAGGAAGATGGGGATGCAATTGTGACAGTCAGAGCTGTAGAAAATGGGGGGCGACTATCATCTGTTCCTGCTGAGAAATCCTCCATATGTTCCCTGGAAAGCTCACACTGCCCTACCTCCCTTATGTAGCATTCTGGTACAGCTACAAATTACCCAAGCCAATATGAAGGGGCATCTGGAGGAATTAAGTGGTCAAGGGAACCACTGACAGCATAGGGAAGCTGATGAGGAAACACAACATACAAACTATCTACAGACCCACGAAGAAAATCCAACAAATGCTACGTTCAGCAAAGGACAAGAGGGATCCTCTCACTTCTGCAGGAGTCTACCATATACCATGCAGCTGTGGACAAGTCTACTTAGGGACCACCAAACGCAGCATTGCCCAAACACGAATCAAGGAAGAGAAGTCAGCCATAGCAGAGCACCTGATGAACCAACCTGGACACAGCACATTATTTGAGAACACAAAGAAATGCTGGACCACTCCAACAACCACCACATCAGACTACACAGAGAAGCCATTGAAATCCACAAGCATGTGGACAATTTCAACAAAAAGGAGGAAACTATGAAAATGAACAAAATCTGGCTACCAGATTCTTAAAAGGATGGTAGATATGTTGGAGAGGCAGGGCAGATAAGGGATGAGGTGAATATCTGTCCAGCGCCGTCCATGGAAGGGGATGTGCAGAGCATGCCTCCTCAATCGAATGAATCAGCAGAGGGCAGAGGTCATGCCAATGGTGCCTCTACTGTCCACATATATTCCCTGTTCACCTTTCACACGCACAAATGCACAAACTTGTACCCATTATTATTCACCCTCCCATGACCCCAGATATATTTTTCCCACACTCCCCATGTGTTTTTTTTAAACCCGTGTCTATGCGCTCATACACATGAACACACAAATACACACATCCACACACATCCAGGTATTCCAATAAGGCAATAAGCACCACTGAGTGATTCACTTTAAAATCTTTATTGTTTCTGCATTTCCATTACACATTATTTTAGATTATTCAGAATGCAATCATGTGGGGAGTGGCTGGCAGCTGCACAAGTGGAAGAGGGATATAGATGGTGTTGATCATATGATCCCAGTCCAAAAAGTGATCTCCCAGGGCATCTCATACCCTCTCTTTTGCTGTTTTTCACTGTGATTCATGGGTGCTCCAAATGTAGGCAGGACATAGTTTCCCACACTGTGGATTTTCATCCAGCATCCTCCTATTAGTCTCACACAGGTTGTGTAAAATCACAACAGGATGCAATACAGAGGGAATATTCTCCTCGGCTACTTCCAGTGTTGCTATGAGACATTTCCATCTTGTCTTTGGATGGCCAGAAGTCCTATCAATGACAATCCTGCCACGACTGAGTTGCTTGTTGAAGTATGCCTGATTCTCATTCAACATACCCTGGTAAGATTTCATGAGCCACTGCCTGATGGGATAGGCACTGTCTTGACAGCAGTAATGGAGCAATCTGGACTCTGGTAATGGTGATGGCTGGATTCCCTGGTACACATATGCTAGCGCTCATCGGCTCATACATAGCAGAATTCCTCAGAACATGGGCATTGTATGTGCAACCACACCACATCAATGGTGTGGTCTTTGTGATCTGGAGTACTCTGTAGCCAGATGAAATAAGTGGGTTTTTTTTCTATTTATGACTTGAGCTCCCTATCTGACAGGACACATGATCATGCAGTGACATCCATTGACAGCTCCTATCGCCTGTAGAAAGCCCATGTCTGCAAACCCTGCCATAACCTAGAAAAAGAGGGAAACAGGTTAAGACAGCATACATATGCAAGAGGCTGTGAGATAGTATACAACTGCTAGAAGCTGAGAAAATGGACTAGTGTATTTAAGGGTAATTTAAGGTAACAAGTCATATGAAGTATCCTCATATCCCTTCCTCCATATCCCCATCAGCGCTGCCACAGATGGCACAAGTTGGAGTTTTTACAAGTTACCTGTTGCAGCTCTGATGCTTATACAATGAAAATTGCCATAACTTACCTCCCAGGCATTTCCTAGATAGACTGTGTATTTCAACAGTATCATCTTTATAGCCAGGACAGTGATGAAGATCTCTCCGACAGTCGCCCTTCCAACACCAAACGGTTGGGCTGCCAGTCAATATGAAGATTTGTTAGCAAGCATCCAAGTGGTGATAGCGACTCTTTTCTGTAGAAATTGATCTCCTCGTGTGTGTCTCTTCTTGAAACCTCTGGTCCAATTGCTGCCACAATCCTGTTAAAGACGGGTCTTGGCATTCAGAAGTGGTAAATCCATTGCTTATCTGCCCACACATTGAAGACAAAACACTTCCACCAGTCTCTGCTGGTTTGCTAGACTCACCAGCATAGTGGTGACCTAGGAATTGTCATACAGTTTGTGAGGGCATAAATGGTACCCACGTGTAAAGCAGCTATCTGGAAAAAAGGCACCAATATCACTGAAGCCCATTCCCTCAGTCACATCATCTCGATTATCCATGTGTGCTCTAGTTCTCCATTGTACCTGCATTATTAAGTGTTCTACTGTTAAGACCCAAAGCTGGCACTTAAAACCCTTTGTTGTGCTGCCAGTCCATGAGGCCAGCTGTGGAAGGGGGCACTCCACTCACATTCCTTTATATTGTTATTCAAAAACACCAAACAACATGGAGACTTCTGGCAGATGTAGCACATCTATCTTTCGGATTTCTAAAATCCGCTATAACCAAACTTGTCAGGACACCAGGGGAGCATTTACCAGGACTGACAGCTCTATGTTTGGACTTGCTGTCAGATACTACAATTTTTTGCCCCACTTCTTTGTCCCGGATTATGGGGCTGTCTGGAGGGGCCTCGGTGGTTCAAAACTGAATTAAAAAACACACTGACTGAATCAGGAGTTTTTTGTATAAATTATCTCTTCAGAATTATTTTCACCATTTTTGAATGGAATAGTACCTTCTTTTGCAGCTTCCTGTTTTTCATCCTTCTTCCCTTTAGCACCTCTGTTACCCTTTGTTCCAGATTCCTTCTGTCAACAGATCAAACACAGGGAAATTAATTCCTATAAAGCAGTAATTGTAGTTCCCCTCCAAAACTCGCGTTACATACAGGAGACTAATAAAAACTAACCATTAAGGCCCCTCCTACATTGTCATATAATCCAGATATAATCCAGATTGTCAAAGCTGATAATCTGGAATGTTATATGGCAATGTGGAAGGGGCCTAAGGCTTCTTTTATACTGCCAAATAAAGTCGCCCATGCTTTTTCCCTTCACCAGTTATCTAGCAAGTGACAAGATGCTACTGATATTAAATATTGGAAAAATATGAGTTTTGTTGTTGTATTTGTGCGACATTGGGTGCACCTGCTTCTTTCTTCCCTGGTAACACACCATAGAACAACAGCAAATTCCAGTTGACTGACATTGGACCAGGGATCCTTGCTTTGGATAGCACTGATCTAGGATAACATTACTGAGATATAGTTAGATTTAGGACCTGCTCGCTACAGACTGAAAGGAAAGTCTGTGGAAAGTTAAGGAAATTCTGTTGAAGGAACAACAGTCTTCATTTATTTCCCCTTCCCCTACAGTCCAAAATATCCCACTACCACCAAAAAAGGCCCATAAGGTCCAGGAAACCCTCCAGAACAGCAGGGAAAGTTTTTTTTTAAAAAAAGGATGCCCTCTAAAAATGTGTTTGCAGGCCTAAAAAAAGTAATCAAGGGCTGCATGTTCCACATTGCGAGTATTTTTCCATAAACAAAGATTAACCGGCTTTATTATATTAATAGCAATTATAATCGGTGGACTCTTCTAATAACATACAGGAACAGCAAAATACTTCGAGTAAAGAAACTTGAGCCCAGAGTTGGAAAGAACATCTTTTACCTTACTGGTTTTCCTTGGCTTTGGCTCAGGATTTGGCAGAGCTGGTTTCTAGGAAATATTTCAGAGAGTCCAATAGTTAGCACAATATCTACCAAGAGATACTTAATCCCAACTCCTTTCTCACTTTGTTATGTGGCATCCAAGAAGCCTGAGATGTGGCCCCCTGGGCACTTACCTCAGGCTCTCCTTATTTTCCTTGTCCTCTTGGCATAAGGATATGGTGGTCCACCACATCCTTATGCCAAAAAGACGAGGGAGGAAGGCACACAGCAGCTGAGAGCCCTCTGGAGCGCTCTTAGCCACCGTGCGTCTCGCCCACTTCCCAGCATAAAGACAGTGTGAGCGGCCCCATCCTTATGCCAGGAGGACAACTTGAGGAAGGCATGCAGTGGCCAAGAGCCCTCTGGGGCACTCCCAGCCACCGTCTCTCTCTCCCCCCTCCTGGCATATTGCAAAGAGGACAGCCCAAGGATTGGGAGAGGAACAGTCTCAACGTGTCTTGCCTTGCTCCCAGCATAAGGATGGGGTGAGCAGCCCTGTCCTTATGCCCAGAGGACAACCTGAGGATGATCCCTGCCCTGCCCTTTCCTGACTCTCTCCCACCCAGGGTGTGTCCGCCCCCCCCCCTTCCTGGCCCAGCCCTCCTGGCTGGGCTGCAATGCATCCCCAAGGCAAAAACGTTTGCCCATGCCTGGTTTAGAGACAGTTCTGCAGTTTGTTTAGAAATAGAGGAAGGAAGAAAGAGATTGAGAGAGAGGCAGTGACTATGATATGAGATAAAACCTTACAGTTTGGATGAAACAGTAAATCTTTAGGCACCTGCAGCAAGATCAGAAGTGATGACACATGCTATACAAGCATTTGTTCATTTTCAATATCCTCTGCATGCATATTTGTAGGTAGAACAAGTATTACATAGAACCCATAAATCTCTAGTGCTGCCAGATTTGAAGAAAATGCATGGGGTGGTAGTGGTGTAGGAATCCTCCTCTCCAGATGTATCAGTGCTCAGGGAACTGGAGAACACAGAATGGAAACTGTCCAGCCCACTGTTCTGCACCAATTACAGCATTCATCGTCAAGGATTTTATATATACACATATAAATCAAGTACATAACCTTACATATCACCTCACAACACAACCAGTGCCAAGATATAGAAAGAATGTGATTTCATATTTGCACAAAATAGCTCTTACATATACTTACAGCTGACATACTTACAGCTGACAATCTTGCAGATCGTCTGGTCGGCTACAAAAGGGAAAGAAAATATCTTTGTAGATTTGCAGCAGTTCACATCCAAACAAGACAAAAATCTGTCAGTCATTTCCCCACAAAATAAAATGCACCTGGAAAGCAGAAGTCTTTATTAGAAAATGCAAAAGTCTACACAACTGAGAAATGATTGTTTCAGATGTACACCGTTTTTAGAAAAAAAATTCATTTGAATTAATTCATTTGGGAAATTTATCTTTCACACTGTTCCTCCATGACTCTAACTTTTTTCTGATAATGACTGGTTTGTAATGCATTTACAGATTGAACTCTATGGAAACAGAAACAAAATCTACTGTTCATTATGTGACTTTCCAAATTTGTTAAAAGTTAAAACATCATACAGTAGAGTCTTGCTTATCCAACATAAATGGGCCAGCAGAACGTTGGATAAGCAAAAATGTTGGATAGTAAGGAGGGATTAAGGAAAAGCCGATTAAACGTCAAATTACGTTATGATTTTACAAATTAAACACCAAGACATCATGTTTTACAACAAATTGACTGAAAAAGCAGTTCAAAACATGGTAACATTATGAAGTAATTACTGTATTTATGAATTTAGCACTAAAACATCACGATGTATTGAAACAGCTGTGGATCCGGGTGGGAGGCAGACTGCGTTAGATAATACAGAATGTTGGATGAGCGAAGGTTGGATAAGCGAGACTCTACTGTATTCTGTAAACATTGGACAATAAATAATGCACATCTAGTAAGGCTGTGCATTCTTTCACTACATTGAAATCCAATAAAAACTGTTTTGCTTGACATAAAGTTTGGATTCTTTTACAAAAGCATCTGAAGTCTTGATGCACATGACTAAAGTCTGTACTCAGTTCAAAAGACATCAATATATACATTTCATGTGAATTTAGTGTTGCTTCTGAATGTTTCAATATGTCCAGTTAGAAGGCTGACAACCCTTGAGCTACTGGATGCAGACTTGTATGAAAAATCTGAGGAAATCAACACTAAGAAATAAATCTGAATCCTGTCTGAGCAAAAATTCAGCCCACAAAATGCAACATATTTAAAGGATTCTTTACATGATAAAGAGTTTATTTATAAGGCAACTCTAACTTGAAGATAAAAACAGAACTGCTTACAGGCTGCACACTTTGGCAACTAGCATCATTTCACTACTTTCTCAGAAAATGAGCCAAAAATGGAAACAGGATCCTAGTTGTGGGTATACTATGTAAGCTGCTAGAAAGATTTCTGGGTATGGGAGATGCTGAGATCTAGTTGTGAGAAGGCATGCATGGTGCTGCTTTAGCACTTAAAAGACAAATCTGATATTGCAAGTTACCTGTTTACAAATAACGAACCCATGTAGGAGTCAGTGCTACTGCCACACATGCATCACTAACAAGATTTTCAATGCGGATCATACCTCAGGCAACCAGAGCAGAAGAACACTGGGAGCACAGAAATAGACATGCTGCCTTCTGGTGCACTCCTAGTTCCTGAAACGTCACTGTTTGTATAAGTAAGGCCATGCCGCATATCGCAAAACAGAATGTTCTCCAGGACTGATGCTCAGAGCAATCCACAGAATGCTCATTTTATGGTATTAAACCATTTTCAAAAATGATTTTAAATGCATACTTGATTTGGTAAAAAAAATCAGTGGTGTTACAGAATCAGGGAGGCAGACTACTACAATGGAGGAACCGTGCCATCAAATACATCACATTTGGGCTATGTCGGGCCTCCAGATTTCACCACCTAAGCCTAGGGAGTGTCAAGGGTTCAAATCAGCATGCAGTTTCCTGTTGTATAGCAGAAGGGACTCTTCACTCCTGTTAGGGAGACAAATGCCTTATTGTAGTGAAGTGGTCTCCTCAGCAACAAAAACTATACAAAGATAGAAAACTAATCACTCCAACTGAAGGCTTTTCTTTCTTAAGTTGCAATAATGGTACAAATACTCTTCCCCTCCTCTCTTCATACACCAACCTCCAACCCACATCAAGCTAACGCAGGGTTACTACAACCTATATACTATGGCCTCAGCACTAGCCACCATACCCCAATTACAATGACACCTGTGGTTAAGCCTGAGACACCAATCCTGCTATCTTAAAAGAAATGCTTTATAACTTACAAATCCTGACAGAGAGGACACTTGCGATGTCACAGTATGCATTCCTGGTGATCTCATTAAGCACCAGCCATAGCTGTGCATGCCATGTCATTCAAACACACCAAATCCAACAAATAAGGAAAATAAGTGTGCAGCAGGCCCACTAGATTCATGGGATCCAGGTCCATGGTTTCCAGTGATCACAGATTGCCATGCTGCCTATCAGTGAACGGCACTGTGGGCACAATGAAGAGTGCATGTTCATTTCATCATTTAATAATATGGATCATGACTGTCTGTGTTTTCTGTCCACAGTTAAGTCCTGGAACTGAACTCTTTAGGAGACAATTGGTCCACTGTACATATACATTTCGAAGGAGAGCTCTCACCTTGAGATTCCTCTTCTCTGCATTGAGATTTAAAGAAAAGTGTCCAGCCCTGAGAATGATTAGAAGCCCTTACAAAAAAAACTGAAATCATGGTTTTGGAACCAGGCCTTTGGCTAGCAGGCACAATGGCACTTTGGACATTGAATTGGACCTAATGATTGTTATGATAATGGAAACGGCTATATGACTGTATAATTAATGTTATTGTTTTTAATCTATTATATATTTATGGTTTTATATTGTTGTTATATTGTGATATTGTGGCATCGAATTGTTGCCAGTGTTAGCCGCTCTGAGTCCCCCCTCGGTGGTTGAGAAGAGCGGGGTAGAAATGTTGTAAATAAATAAATAAAATTACAAAGGATCTCCTCCTGAAGAAGGTGGAAGCTACATATGAATCAGCTGCTTGGTGGTTTTTGTTTTTTTTCTCTCTCTCTTCTTGGAGACACACTTCTTGGGAGCTTTCACAGTGAGCACCTACACTTTACTATTTACCACCACACAACTGATAAAAATGCAACTTTGCTTTTCAACCATGCTGTATTCAGATGCTGCCTGCTACTAACACCCACCAATGGTGAGTCTACATTATAGTTCGGTCTGTAATCTATTTCACAATTTCCTAAGGGCTTTCTAACTAGCATAACCAGGGACTGAATTCCACCTCCTACCTTGATGTTAGGTATCTGCCTTCTAGCACTCCAAAAGGTGTTCAGCTTCTTCTATAACAGTGGTTCTCAACCTGTGGATCCCCACATGTTTTGCCCTACAACTCCCAGAAATCCCAGCCAGTTTACCAGCTGTTAGGATATCTAGGAGTTGAAGGCCAAAACATCTGGGGACCCACAGGTAAGAACCACTGTTCTACAACCTTACTGTTCCCCAATATTAAGTTAATGTCCTTACAGCAAGGTTTACACATTGATCCTGCACATACTGGCCTGAAAGTATGTGTAGTATAATAGAATGCCATACATTCCTCAGGGATGTTGAAAACATGAAGTTTGGTTATCTAATTTTTTACTATACAAGCAAGCCAGGGAAATAATATAATTGACCTTTATGAGCCAAGTCTTTTCTCAAAGCTAACAGTAGGATACTGTGGCAAAAAAGAGGGTTTCCCTCCCTTTGCGCAAGAACTACACTGGAAAGAGCTGGAGTGCACACTTCCTCTTTAATTGTATTTAAGTAATTACTTAGAATAATCTCTTGGCATGTAGGACATTTGAATATTTTCCTAAGCAGTTCTGAGAACATGATTTTGTAGACATGGCTGAGATTTGAAAAGAAGGAAGGCTAAAGCATTTGGCAAAGTCCTAGTCAGCCATTTCAAAATACACTAGCAAAAAGGTTTCATTTATTTATTTATTTATTTATTTATTTATTTGCAGTATTTATATTCTGCTTTTCTCACCCAGGGAGGGGACCCAAAGTGGTTTACAAAAAATAATGGCAAAATTCAATGCCTTACATACATAAACCAAATCATAAATCAAACAGCATATGACTAAACATAAAATACAATAGGACATAAAATACATCTGACAGTGGAATACACCTGTATGACTGAAATGCTCTCCCTTTCCTGATTTTTTTTGGGGGTGGGGTGGAATTAGCATGACAACACTTTCATTCTGACTAGTGTTTTTTCCAAGGTGGTGGCTACGAAGGGGAAGTATCTCAAGCTTTTATGTCCATTTATTTTTTTTCTAGCTGTGAGTTTCCCTCCTGCCTCCACCCCCAGTCCAAGCATATATTGGATATGGAACCTAGTGCAGTAGTGCAAGAGTGAAGCACCTCTTCCACATCGGTTCTAGACTAATTTATTTATTTTATTTCATGTCAAAAGCATTGCATAAATAAATTAGTATAAAACTGATAAAATAGGGGAAATAAAAGTGACTAAACAGCTTTAGACCAAAAAACAAGCAACAGCAACAGCATTGTCTGTAGCGTTAAACAGTTCTTCCTCTGTGGCAGGACATTGCAGGCAAGCAAGATGCTGAGTTGTTTGCTCTGCTCCACAGTCGCACAAGGTGGAGGATTCTTCTAGGTAGTACCATTTAGCCAAGTTGTCTTTTGATCTGCCCACTCCACTTCTGAGTCTGTTCAGGGACTTCCAAGTTGCCCATTCTTGGTTTGCCCCTGGAGGCAGACCCTCGTGAAGGTCCATCCAATTGGGATTTTCTGGTTCAACTGCCCAGAGGGATACTCCTGCTGTTGCTGGGAGAACATTAAGAGGAGTGGAAACTCTCATGAAACTTTCCCTTGATTTGAGTCTACTGGGAGGAGGCTGATAGTCATGCAAGTGAATGGCTTTCATAGTGTTCAACCTTATTTCTCTCACAGTTGGCAGCAACTTCCCATTGCATATTGGGCGGGGGAAATGCCAGCTAGCTTATAGAGTATCAACAGGTGTTGATTTAAAACATCTCATGATTATTCTACATGTTTCGTTCTAGACTAATGTAACTATGGGATTGCTCCACAAATACATG